GGCGGTGGGGGGGGGTGCAGCACCCCCATCTGCGAGGCTCCACTAGCACCCGCACCCCCGAACGCGGCGGACCTACAGTGTAAGCGCGTCACAGTTTCGCCGCTGAGAGAGAGTATGTATTTGAGGAGCTCCACGGATTGGTACCCAGGAAGAAAAATAATTATACTTTGACGGCCGTTAATATACCTGGGAGGCCCGCCCAAGTAAAGTCTATGTGTGGGAAACCCTGCTATGTTACCAGTTCTTATGCAACTCGCAAATATCTCTCTCTTCTCTCTCTCTCTTTTCTCTCATCTCTCTTTTCTCTCTCTCAATGTTGGTGCGCAAATGCTCCTTTTTTCAAATTATCCAGTTCTCCTTTTTTGGCGGGGGGTGCGCACCAGTTAGGTGCAGCCTTGTACATAACGCACAAGGGGACGGGTAATAACGAGAAAAGCATGACATGGGACCTTCTAAAGCTATTGGTTTTATGCGTGGTCACAGAGATGTAAATTGAAGTTAGTTGATATTTTATTTGAATCCATGACTTTCAACACACCGCCTCCTGGTCACAGTCTTATCAAGACCCTTGGTCACTTCTTGGAGAAATGTGAATTAGACGTGTGGGCTTTGAGTAAGGATTTCTCTGTTTTCCCTGAACTGCATGATCATTTTTTGTCTCGTGTGTTTTACAGAGAAATTTGGCTTCAAGCAAGAGGAGAGATTTGATTGTGGAGCTAAAGCTGGTGATGTCTTTGCAAATCAGAGAAGATTCCCCCAGGCACTGTTTTGGGACTTTAAGGTAATCACTTGTGAGGAGTGAAACTAAGCAACAGCCAGTTTAGACTCATAATGCAAGAAGTTGTTGTGATGTCAGACAAAATGCTTCCTAGTGAGAAATAATCCGACTAGACAGATCCTTAGTACGAGTCGAATGACATCCAAGTAACTGTATATGAGGGAATTTTAAATGTTGTTACCTTTGTCTTTTCCCCATTTTAGTTGCATTTGATTGGAGAAAAGGATGACGTACCCGTTCACTTTTGTGATAAATGTGGACTTCCTATCCAGCTATACGGACGGATGGTATGTATTCATTCCTGTACCGGACCTGCTCAGTAGGCAGTCACTGAAAAAGGTTCATGTGTAACTTTGTCCTCTTCCTCCTCAGATCCCCTGCAAACATGTTTTCTGTTATGACTGTGCATTGCTTCATGAGAAGAAAGGAGAGAAGATGTGCCCAGGGTGAGACATTCTCTTTATTTGGTGATATGTTGTGGTTGTGGCGTTTTGAACGTGTAAAACAATAATACAAAAAATAATAAAGAAATGAAACATAAGAATTCTGATACTGTACAAACTTAAGCAGTAATCAATTGATAAACATAAATATGATTGACTTACAAATGATATATAAACAAGCTACCAACAACTTATTGACACATGTTGACAGATAACAATCTCTTATCAGTGTGAATCTGTCCTGTTTTTCATTCTCACCCTGTTTGATACCGACCCTCTCTCCCCAGCCTCACCATGTTCAGCTGCACAGACCCGGTCCAGCGCATCGAGCAGTGTCTGCGCGGCTCGCTCTACATGTGCAGCGTCGTACCTGGATGTAAGCGCACGTACCTGTCCCAGCGAGACCTGCAGGCGCACGTGAACCACCGTCACATGAGGGCCCCCAAATCCTCCTCTGGCCGCCAGGACCCCGTCCACCTGCCCCCGCCTGCCTCCGAAGTCCTGGACCGTTTCCGCGTTCCTCCTCCTCACTTAGCCAAAAACCACGTCCACCTGCCCAACCCTCTGCAGCACGGCAGCCACGACCCTTACAACCAACCACCGCCACCTGCCGCTCACGAAGCCCCGCCCGCAAACGCTATTGGACCCGAGACATTCCGCATCGCCACCGTGACGACACGAAAACACAGCAATCTCATCACGGTGCCGATTCACGACGACTCTTCTTCTTCACGTGATGCTGGACCGGGCCCCACGCAGCAGCTGCAGCAGCAGCAGCAGCAGCAGCAGCCGCCCCCCCACCATCACCCGGGGGATTATCCCGGTCAGCCGCCTGTAGGACCCCACTCCCACCACATGATGGCGCCACCACAGCAGCACTTTGGGCCCCCGCCTCCCCCACCACCTCCCATTAATCACCCCATGCAGCATCCTCCCCAGGCATCAGGTACGCCTCACATGGTGTACAACCAGGCCCCTCTTCCTCCCATGTCCTCCGCTCCCCCGCCAATCACCCCTCCACCGGGGCACATCATGGGTCAGATGCCCCCCTATATGAACCACCCT